TTATTACACTTTTATTTACTTTAATATATACATAACTATTTATAGTTGGTAGCATGATAGAAAACAACAGTAAAAAAAATTACTAATTATATTAATAATCAGTCCAGAATCAATTTCAAGACTGTAGAAAAAGTGGTCTCAATATTCTCAATTTACTTGTTTGCTATTAAGTGATAATTTAATAAAAGAAGTTCTAGAATAAGCTTATTTTGGCACTATAAATTTCAACAATAATGATTAATAGCTTGTGAGTCTAAGTGAATTGATATAGCTTATAGGTTTTGTACGTATGCATAAGATAACAATAAAAAATAATAATAATGTCGTAATGAGATCACCCTATTTTAACGATATTTTTTCCAAATACTAAAACTTTATTTGCTCTATGATTTGTGAGCAATGTTTGACTTTTATTTGATCGATTAACTGATAAATGTAGAATATATAGTGTGTTGTGATTTTAATTATTTTTTTATTTTCTTAAAGTACATATCCTTTTATAAACAAAATTTACCAATATTTAGTTTCAACATTTGTAATTATTTATTTTTTCAAAAAAAATATCATTTTATTTTTTTATACTCTATCTTTATGGTTCTTTTACATTTTTTATTCATGTAGATTTTTTGAGTGCATATGGGTAATTATAATCTGTTATAATTTCTATTTATGTTTTCGTTAATTATTGAAAGGACATGGTATTTAGATCTGTTGTTGCATGAAGCGATGTTCAAAATACTCTCCAGTGTTGTTTACAAGTGTTGATCTTACCAATTTGTAGAAACATGAATATCAAGAAGCATATCTTGGCACGTGGGCATTTAAACCACACATAAATTCATTCACGAAGTAGTTTTATATATAGAGAGCAACGTAAAATTTACATATAGAAAAGTTCTATAAAGTTAGTTTGTTCTATTAAATCTAAAACTAACAATTAACATAAAAAAAGAAATTTCACTATAAGTGTGTCTAAAAATATTTTTGTAAAGAATTATGGTTTTGGTAAAATTAATTATAAGTTTAAATCTAGGAATTTAATAACAAAATTATAATAAAGCATAATAATATTTGGGAAATTTTAGAATAGGACAAAAATCTAAAAATGTTGTTTCTAAGTCCACAAAATAAAAAATATTATTTACAAAATTTTGGTAGTATTATAAATTCCAAAAAATTATTTTGAAGCCAAAATGTAGAGTTTAATAAAACACACATTTTTAGATTTATTATTTAACCCCTATTTCAAGCAATACTCTTTTTCAGTTAGAAAATCCTTAAAATGGTGTAAATCAATAGTTTTTTCAAATGATTAGAAAGTTACTAGGAATAATTATTCATTTTATTGAATACATTTTTTATGTATGTTGTATAATTATAGGATTCATTGATGATAAAGCTACTAGGTGTACATTTCTCCAAACAATTGAGAGATATTGTTCAAGTGAGTAAATTTCATCTTGTTACCTATTATAAATATTTAATAAAAGTGTATCAATTGTATGTAATGCTAATATAGTATTGGATTAGTTAGATTGTTAATAATAGAATATTCATTTATTTAATTGCAAATTCCATGCACTCTCCGCTTCAGAACTTGATAACATCGAATCGATCAAATGACCATCCGTTCTAATTCACGTGGATTTACTTAACAATTTTCATTAATTTCACTTTTAATTTGCATACTAATATTATTAACACTAAAACCTCTTCCAACTGCTTAATTCTATATCTTTATTTTTTTCTCCTTTTCAAGTCACTTTTTTCATATTTTTTTCCACAAAATAAATTCAAAACCTAAACAAATGATTGTACAAGTTTATCAGATGGACTGTTTATTATTTATAATGTTACTAAAATACTCTAAACTTTATTATCTCCCATGAAGGCAAGAGTTTGAAACCAACAAGATTATGCACATATAAATTCAAAAAGTTTTAATATACTTTAAACTATTTTCCAACTTAATTATAGTAAATAAAAGCTCAAAAAATAACACGTGCAACACACGCGCATCATTAGCGTTTAGTCTTTATGCATGAGAGAAAATAACAGTAAAAAGCATTTATTAACAATAAAAAAGTTACTATTTTTTTCTTATAACCAATCCAAAACCGAACTCAAGACTGTAGGAGACATAATAGAACCTTGAATCATCCGGGTCATCCATGATGGCCTTAAAATAATTTTCTAATTTTCATATTAAAATTTGAACTCATATTCCATACAACCTAGTGGGTTTATTTTTTGTCTATTAATTTTAATTTTTAATACGAGGACATTCGAGTCATTGCACACGTGAGGGTCCTGACCTAAACCCTAGATCCGATCCAAAAGGTGAAAGCGACTCGATGATATTTTCGTCGGGCTCCCCAAACTTTCTTTATTTATTTTGCTTCAGTTCGTAAATAGAGAATCTAACCCCAAAATCACCCGCTTCTATCGCGATCGAGGAAAAAAAAAAAGAAAATAATTTTCCCATCTCTTCACTTTTAGGGTTTCATCCAAGATCTCAAGGTAAATCTCAGATCTTGCGATTTCATGTTAATGTTCGGTGAAAGGCTGTTGATCGTGCGTTGTTAGTTATTTTTTCTTGATTTCTTGCGTTGTTAGTTTAGATCTAGGGTTTGGCTTGATCGAAATTAGGGTTAATAAATTAAGGCAAAGGGATATTTTTTATTAAAAAATGCGATTAACATTTTGGTGTGGTCTAGGGTTTCATTCAACTTCTCAAGGTAAATCCCAGATCTTGCAATTTCCTGCTAATAGTAGGTGAAAGGCTGTTGTTTGTGCGATGTTAGTTATTTTCTTGATTTCTTGCGGCGTTAGTTTAGATCTAGGGTTTGGCTTGACTGAAATTAGGGTTAGTATTTAGGAAAAATGGGATTTAAAAAAAAAAATTAAGGTACGCGATTAAGATTTTGGTGTGGTATGTAAGATAGTTCCTTTTGTTGGTTTCTTGTAATTTATCCTTTTTCTGAAGCAAGTGATGATTTTGGATGTAACTGTTTCATGTTTGTTAATTATAGTGTGTCAATGGCATAATCGTTTAACCTTTTAGATGCTGAAGATCAGTAATCAATGTTAATTAATTGTTGATAGCATTGCATTGAGCTGCTAGTGGCGACCTATTACCTACATATAGAAGTGTAGACAGGTTTCATGCTGATTTTGTTAGCATGGGGAGAATTGGATAGTGTTTTGGGGTATTTTAGTTTTGGTAGCCAACTAAATCATTTTCCTAGGCTGGAGGTTTTCAGAATTAGTGTCGTGGAATGATTTTTCCCTGAATTTAACATTTAATGGGGTTTGGTTGTAGAAATAAACTCATTAGTCATCAATTTAGTTGAAGCTCATTGGGGTTTATCTGCTAGATTATCTTGCACCTTTTGGACTTATTTAAGCACAACTTTGGAGAACAGGATTTGCTGATTATGCTGTCTTTTTTACTTTGTACTATTTTTGGTTGTCTTGTACTATATCTTTTTATTTTGTGATTGAATCGGGACTATTTCATCAGTGGTTTTGACTGTTATGGATATTCTTCGTGTCTCTGTAGCATTCAAACCCTAGCTATCTTCAGCTTATCTGCTGTTTGAGTAACATTGGTGCAGTTAGATAAGTGAAAGAAAGGAATACAAAATATCAATTACTCATGTCACGGATTGTTTGGTTATTTAATATTGTATTTTGCTTTTATATATCAGGTATATCTTTGAGAAGTTACATATGGCCGGGCAGAGAAATAACTATGGCAAGAGGTCTCACTCTCATGGGGATTATTCTGACAATGGCGGCAACAAGAGAAGGAATCCTGGTGATGATAAGGAGTCATATGCTCCTGGCGCTGAAGATACTGTCTACCGTTATTTGTGCCCGGGGAGAAAGATTGGAAGCATCATTGGAAGGGGTGGTGAGATTGTGAAACAGTTGAGAGCCGATACACAAGCCAAAATCAGGATTGGTGAAACTGTACTGGGATGCGAAGAAAGAGTAATATCCATCTTTAGCTCAGGCAGGGAAACTAATTCCTTTGAGGATTCCGATGTTTGCCCTGCACAGGAAGCTCTATTTAAGGTTCATGAGAGGCTTGTTTCAGAGGAGGCAATGGATGAAGACAATGATGAAGGTGCTGCTCAGGTTACTGCTCGCCTGCTTGTACCATCCGATCAGATCGGGTGCATTATTGGAAAAGGCGGGCAGATAATTCAAGGCATCCGTAGTGATACCGGTGCTCAAATTCGCATACTGAAGAATGACCACCTCCCTGCTTGTGCTATCAGCAGTGATGAACTTCTACAGGTAACAGGGATTTTTCATAAGCATATTAGTTGGAGTGTATATCTAGTGGCAAGTCTTCTATTTATAACTTATGACGATTGTTATGTGCATGTCAAGGATAGTTAGCTAACAAAAAAGAGGAGGGTATTGTCTTACTTTTGCTTGGGTTTCTCATGCCTTTTTGGTTTATTGTATGTACGTCTTCTGTGATCTCATTTGGCAAATTTTTCATGACAACTCAGTTTCTACACCTCAAACACGCTAGACCGTTTCAACATAAGAACCTGAAAATCTTTAAGTAATTCAGCTATTCAAACACAGGCGATGATATCCTTGATCAGCTTGTCTTTGGGTGGCTGACCTTGTTTGAATCCCCTGGAATACGTTGTTTACAAATTTTTGTTGTTTTCTATGTGCATCTGTTTGGTCATTTTATGACACATTACACATGTACTGTGAAATGTTATTTCTGAATCTTCATGCCTTTAGCAAATTAATCAATTATTATATTCTTCATGGTTGGTCCGCTTCAATTTTCATTTTTTAATTTCTTTCTTATTTTCTATTGCATCTACTCCTCTACACAAATGGTAGAACCCAATATTCACTATTCATGCTACAGAAAATGCCACAATAGTATTTACTGTAGCGTTATTACTGTAGCAAACGAAACTGGGCACCACCTATTTTTAGAAACTACTGTAGCACAAGGGAACACTGGCAGCGGGATACTATAGCAATTCAAAAGCACAAAAATACTGTAGCAGTTAAAAGCGGGGGAAAAATTACACTAGTCTTTGTAAATAGAAAGATAATGTTTGTCAGTGGTGTTTTGTTTTAACTTTAGATGCTGATTAGTAACATCATTCAATTTTAATGTATCCAACTGTTGCCGTTATATGAAGCCAACTCGACCTTACCTTTCCTGATTTCCATTAACCTCTATTATTATTCCATGAGAGGTTGACCATCGCTTATAAGACTATTTTGTATTCTTATTGAGTAGTATCCTTCATATGCATGGTAAACATTGTGTATGACTTTCCGATTTATTCGGTATTAGATCACGGGTGAAGCATCAGTTGTCAAGAAGGCTCTTTTTCAAGTGTCATCTCGGCTTCATGACAATCCTTCTCGGTCAAATCACTTGCTTACTTCCAACGTGCCAAGCGCACACCCTTCAGGTGGTCAGTATGCGGGTCTTGCTGCAGCACCACCAATTATGAGCGTGGGTCCGCTTATGAGTTCACATGGAGGAGGTTACAAGAGTGACTTTGCTAGTGATTGGCCACCTTTCTACGCTGGTCCTAGGGATGAAGCTTCTGCAAAGGAGTTCAGTTTGCGTATGCTCTGTCCTGCTGTGAACATTGGAGGTGTTATTGGTAGGGGCGGAGGTATCATCAAACAAATCAGGCAGGAATCCGGGGCATATATTAAAGTGGACAGTTCCTCTCCTGAAGATGCCTGCATAATCACAATATCAGCTAAAGAGGTGAACACCATCTATTGATTTTATTTTATTGTGATAACTGCATATTTTGTGGCTTGCCAATTTCCACATTCCTTATGTTCCTTCCAGTTTTTTGAAGATCCAATCTCCCAAACCATAGATGCTGCTGTACGCTTGCAACCTAGGTGCAGTGAGAAAGAGGAGAAAGAGTCTGGTGAAGCTACATACACTACACGGCTGCTTGTTCCAACATCCAGGATTGGTTGCCTGATTGGTAAAGGTGGGAGTATCATCTCAGAAATGAGGAAGACAACACATGCAAATATCCGCATACTTGCAAAGGAGCAACTTCCAAAAGTTGCTGCTGAAGATGACGAGATGGTTCAGGTAAAAGAAAATTACTTGGAAACTGTTGTCATCTTTTTCCTGAATGTATATGCGATTTCTAAATCAAAATGCATTATTTGGTCTATGTTCTCCAGATCATTGGAAATATTGACGTTGCCAGGACTGCTCTTATACAAGTAACCACTAGGTTGAAAGCCAATTGTTTTGAAAGGGAGGGTCTCTTGTCTGCACCTCCAGCCCCTGTACCCTATCCCCCAATTTTGAGCGACGACAGGCCTAAGTATTCAAGTAGAGACAGTTATGATAGTAAATCACATAGCCGTGGATATTCTTCTTATTCTGGTGGATATGGTAGCGCTGATGCTCTTCCTTCAGAACCCTATGGAGGGTATGGTGGTTCCCATGTAAGATTTTAAATAACACTGTCAGCAGGCTGTTTATGTGGTTTGTATTAGTTGGTCAATAGTAATCATCCTTGATAGTTATTGCTCTCTCTGTAAAATGTGTTTCCTTGTGTATTACAATCTGTTTCTTGTTCACGAAAACTAATTATTAACAATTGCCTTTTTCTTTTTCTACAGGGCGGTGGTAGTAGTTATGGCTCATATGGTGGGTACTCTGGTCGGTCTGGAAGCGCTGGGTAAGAATTTCTTGTTTGTCTCTTCTCTTTATTAGTTTTGTTTTCCTGATCTTTACTCGTATGATGCAAAGAGAAGGTTTGTTCAGTACAATTAACAACTTTACATACTAGCATTAATCATCTTATTTCTTTTTTATTCTACAGTTGTTTTTTCACATTTTAATAAAAATCAACAGAGTCTGGAAATGAACTCAAAAGTCAAGCCTTAATTATATGCTTTCCTTTTGGTTACTGTTGATTTATTGATGCTTATTTCCTACAATTAACAACATCCACTTTCTAATGTACCATTTACTTATCAAGCTTCCCCTGACAAACAATGGCTTATGTCACCAGGTTATCTGGTTCAAACCCTTCCCACGGAAAACATCATGGTTATTAGTATCCTAATGATTAGGACCAACAGGTAGATTATTCCCTTTCCTTATTTATCTGCTGGAATACATCAAATTATTTTAGATCTGCTTATAAATCACGTGGTCATTTGCCGGCTTTTCCATCTTTAACCAAAGCAGCCCACGGATATCAGCATCTCTAATGCACCTGTTTTTTGACCTTTGTTGCCTTGCCCTCCTATAAAACAGCTTGAGGTCTATGAAGCCTGGAGACAGCCCATAATGAAGCCTCAGCCTAAAACCAGAAGACCAGATGATTGCCCGAGATACTATTCCCCACCTTCGAAGCTATGTTTAGGAGGCCAGCATGCATGCAATAGCTATACTATCCTCCTGGCCTTCACCTTACCAAACTATAATCCCAAGGGCCTGTATTTCAAGCTCTACCTTGTGTTTTGAAACATTTTCTACCTTGTGTTTTGAAACATTTGTATTAACTGTTGGATTCCAAGACTAATTGTACTTTACATTTGCAGTGAAGAGCTTCTGTCTTGTCTTTAGGTTTTCAGTAAGGTTTTTGTCAGTACCAATGGTTTTATGAGTGAGTTTGTGGGTTTTCGACATTAGGTTCTTGTGCGAACTTTTCGTGACCCATATCTGCTTTTTTAAGAGCTTCCGTTGCAAGATATTGATCCATTGACTATCCCTGGAACCTCATAGTGCTGCAAATAGTTTTGTAATAAGTATTGGCTTATTTTGTCGTGTTCAGGTTAAGTTTTGATGGCTCTTAGAGGATATTGAGTTAATGCTGTTAGTGCATAAGCAGTTGTTACTGGTGATGTTTCTATCAGCTCAAAGTTCGGAACACTTCCAACGGTTGTTTTACTATCTTTAGTGAGGCATGAAATTGGTAAGTCTCTTTAGTTGTCCAGGTGTTATCATTTTGGGCTATTATATGTCTCTGCCTTCGTTCAAAGAAGGTTTTTCTGTGTTTGGTAAGGACATTGCATATTGGTATTTCCCCTGTTGGCTTAATTGCAATTAAATACCCTTTAGTTTCCCCCTACTTTACACATATATCTCCTCTCTTAAGGACATTGCATATTGGTATTTCCCCTGTTGGCTTAATTGCAATTAAATACCCTTTAGTTTCCCCCTACTTTACACATATATCTCCTCTCTTGTTTTTGGCAGCCCTTACATACCTTAAAGTTCTTGAAACTTGCGCTTATATACCCTCACTTGTTTTGGCAACACTTATATACCCTAAGGTTTTAAAAGGTGTGCTTCAATACCCTAATGAAGTTATTAAAGTCTCCACTTAAATACTCAGTTATGCAAACTTGAGGCATTTAAGTGCAAAGTTTTGAAAAGGATTATTAGCTGCAAGTTTTAAAAAATTTAGGGTATTTAACTGCAAGTTTTAAAATTTTTAGGGTATATAAGCGCTACCATAAACAAATGAGGATATAGAAGTGGAAGTTCTATATAGTTTAGGTGTATAAGTGCTGCCAAAAGCAAGTGACGGTATACAAGTGTAACATAGTTAAAACTATAGGGTATTTAAGTGCAGTTAAGCCTTCTCCAGTTAATTTGCATTCTTTTTTGTGGTGCATGATAGACTGGTCAAGGAGCACCAAAGTAATCTGTTTATTGGATATAACCTTTTTTGGCGATACTAAATTGATTGTGTATAACTAGTTAGGGCTTCGTATTGGACATGGTTATACCACCTTTTTCCTTTTTATGCTGGTAAAAAGTTTAGAAGCTTTTATCACCATCCATGATGAACAAAGTCGAGAAGCCCTCATCTCTTACTCATGTATGTAGAGGCTATACAGGGAAAATTTCTAACTTGTGAACACCAGGATCTGTTTTCTTTTGTGTTTTTTGCTTTCTGTACTGAAGCCAACCTAAGCTTCAGGTCATACAAGTGTTGTTTCTGTATGCTATCTACCAGAGGTTGTTTTATCTCAGACCTAAGTTCATTTCTGGCTCGCTACACTGTAAAATGTTGCTGCTAAGCTAGCCCTTGAACCGTTTGCTGCCTTGCCCCTTTTTCGATATCAAACCCTTGCATTATGTCAGGCCATTTTTGATACTAAATAGGAAGTTGCATGAATTTTCCTCTCCTGTTTCATATCTCACAGTTTACTTCAGTGCACATTCCTCACTTTGCAAGTCTATATCTCTAGTTAATAATCTGTTTTTACAAAGTACCCACAACTGTGGGGTTGTATCTCACAGTTATACCTGCTCTTGTTCGGTTTGAGTGTCTCACAGTTATACCTGCTTTTGTTCTGTTTGAGTTTAAAATGTCTTAGAGTTAGAAAATAGTGTATATTCTTGAAGCTTTTCCACTTAGAGCAATTTCTTTAGTTGTGTATAAATTCTTATGGTTTTAAATTATTACATTATGTTACAAGGACTTTTGTTATTCTTATGACAAACATGTGATAGGGGTCTCTCAGGAAGTTCGAATCCACTGCTTTATGTATTTTTATCATGAACCTACACATAGTTTTGAAAAACTAGCATAGATTTTACATCATATTTATCATGAACTTATGTGAGTTTTCTCTTCTTACGTTTCAATAATGTCACACAAACATTTTAGCTTTAGGTTTGTAGCGGGATAACTACAGGTAGCTGAGGATCACAAGGATCACATTCTTTGACACTTAATCCCTAATCAATTTATTATAATGTTTGTTTTGGCGATTTCATCATTTTTTCGGAGTTGCAGGTGCAAGACTTGGGCATTCTTTTTTCGCGTCAGTTGTTACCAACGATCCCAAGCTTTATTCATACTAATAAATTTGGCGTCACGCTGAATGTATTGCCATTGCCTTAGCTTTTTACTAACATTGCAGGTTGAATTGGCCTATTTTCTAAGGTCTGAAATAGATACATTTAATAGTTTTTGTAGACATGGTGATAGTTGCCACGTTGGAATGGTGAAGGCCCTTGTTGCCTATGTGATAAGAATATTTAAGAAAATTCTTTTGGCCGATTGTTTCTCTGTATGTTGCCTCGCTTGTATTCTTGGACTCGAGTGTGTTGCCCCTTTGTTCTGTGACGATGATATTGAGATACTGAAGTTATTGGTGTATTATTGTTAGCGTGAATGCTATAAAACCGCTAAATTCTGTTATCGGATGTTTTGTGATATTTATCTTTGTACATTACACGCGCGCGCACACGTGTATATATTTATGAGAATTTTTCAAGAAAGATTTTCTTTGAAAGATGATTAGCAATATTGATTTTTTTTACACAGCTTATCTGAGTTGGCAAAAAAAGAGGTTGCTTTGTGAATTTTTTTTGTTTAAAACATGGGACTATTAGTTCGGTGTTTTTTCTGAATAGTTTTAGGGGCTGTTTGGTTCATTTCCTAGATATAGGGAAATGTAATTCCAAGTAAAGAAACCAATGTTTTTAGTTTTCCAAACTTTTCCAAGAAATAGTTTGTTTTGGTTTGGTTCGCACAAAAAAATGGTGAGAAACCAATGTTTTTACTTTTCTTGTGTTTGGTTTGCAAGAGAAAAAAAGGGAAAACTTATGTTGATTTGACATTTCCCACTTTTCTTGTGTTTGGTTGGTTTTGAAGTGTGTATGGAAAAGTGTTTAGAGTCACCATGGTAAGATTACCCCCCACTATAGACAAAAATTATTTGTGCTAGTTATGAGATGTAATCTTAATCATATAAAAGTGCGAATGTATCATGAACAAATATTAATAACCCGAATGAATTATAAATTTCTGTTTGTATTAATGAAATCATACGAAACCTGAAATCATCTGAAACCTACTGTAACATGAACTGCGTACCTGATTTGACATGAAATATACCTGTTTGAGATGAAAATAATCACACAAAACCTGTTTTCGAAGAAAAAATAAACAAGACCTGTAATAACCTGATTATTCATAAATTTATGAAATACGTACCTGAATTAGCCAAAAAAATTTCTGAAACCTATAAAAACATATAAACGGCCTGAATAGCCATATTTTAGTACATAACATAGCAAATAGCCATCCAGTATATGTGAATTATGACTGTGGGCTCAGAACTTGTTCAATATCATCATCGTTAGCCATCCGGTGCAATATCAATAGATATTGCAGGTTGCTAATCTCAGAAAAATTAACAATCATCATAGCCTAAATTGAACACCCACAAACAGTATCAAAATCAACAAATAGTACGGAAAATCTGAGCACACATAGAACTCCACAAAACATTAGCTCAAATAGAAGATGAACAACAGAGCATCCACAAACAGTGAGCTCACAAAACTGGTGTGCACAAAACTGGAAGTTGTCACAAACCTGGACACAACAACAAACTAACCAACAACCAGCAACAACAAGAAACATTCAGGCCCAACAACCAAACGACACAACAACACAACTCTGGACACAACAACAACAACTGAAGGAACAACCAGCAAACTAACCAACAACCAGCAACAACAAGAAACATTCAGGCCCAACAACCAAACTAACCAGCAACCAGCAACAACAAGAAACCACCAACCAGCAACCGGCAAAAACCAGCAACAACCAAACTAACCAGCAACAACCAAATCAGAAGAACCAGCAACCAGCAACAACAACAACTACCAACATAGACTGAGCACATGTTGTGTTTAGCTTAGGGCTCAGAACTTGGTCAATATCATCATTGTTAGCCATCCAATGCAATATCAATAGATATTGCAGGTTGCTAATCTCAGAAAAATTGACAATCATCATAGCCTAAAAATAAAAAAATCACCAACGAAAACCAAATACCTAAATGCCCCAGAGCAATAGCCATCCAGTACAATGTGTACACATTGTAGGTTGCTTGCATCTTAGGAAATATCCTGCATTCACAAATTCAATTACAAAAGTTAGTATTCCACAAAATGATATTAATCATGGAAGATAAATATTACAAAATGGAAGCAAATAAATACTTACTACATATTACAACAATATGTTCCATCATCATAATGTTCCACAAACACAATAAAAACATTATCACCAAAAGTAAGTGGATTTCACAAGTATGTTAGAAATGAGAATCACAAAATACCACGTAGAGACTTCTTCTATCGGTCTTCAACCCCCTTCGTTGAGAAAGGTAGCAATCATCTCTTTTTGACCAACCGATGATATGCCCATAAATAGTCTTGCTTCATGCTCATTCAAATATAAGTGTCGGTAGTATGTATCTAGCTTTTCAACACTAAAATCTTGTAAATGAGCATATATGACCGTGGATAACTTCTCGGTCCAATGCATATTTACACACTTCATGTTTGCGCTAAATACATCTATCTTATCCACCATTTTTAACATGAGCTCATCTTCTAGGTTGTTCCTACGAGCCTTTCCCTTAGCAACACATACCTTTGCTTTAGAACTTGATATGGCGGGTGTTTCCTTAGGCGGAGGAGTGTCCTCTTCATCTAAAATGTGTACTTGAGGGGATTGTGAGGCAGGTAAAGGCGAGTCACCATCATCTCCAAGATTTATGGACTCACTACGACTAAATTTTTTCCAAGCATCACATGCAAATTCTCCTCTAGCTTGATCATCCCCGATGATAAGGGAAAGATCATCGTAGTGAGTCAAGGGTTTATTGACATATTGTCTAAGTTTAGCATTCTTAAAGCTCTTGTCCTGAAAAGTATAATTGAATTAATTCAATGAAAACATGTAAATAAGATAAGTAATCAAGGGTTATGTAAAAATAGTTTATGTACCTCAATCCACCTATCCAAAAATTCAGGCTCCATGATGACAGTCTTGGA